GACAGTATCACGTATTTTCATGAGACTGGGTTGGATAATACAGACACATTCATTCAGTCTCATTATCTGATCATAGTTTGTGGTGAAGCTGAAGGTTTTAATGACCATTGTTTCCTCCTGTGAGTTCAGACGATGTGATCAGTTTAACAATGATTGTACCGACTGGTCCTCGGTCCCAGTGGACAGACAACCAGCACCATGTGAGTCCTTCAGAGGGTTTTAGTCTCAGTGTGGAGCTGAAGAGGAGCTGCAGCAGTCAGTGTGCCGCACTTAAATTTAGAGTGTACAAGTATTCTCAGCATTATGGTAAATGCGGAGAAACAGCGTATTTACTTCCGGTTTTCAAAATAAAGGTATTTAGAACAGTAAGCTATAATTAAAATATGTTACATATGTTACAACAAGTGTTTCATGCGCCCCTGATGAATAAAAAAACACTTTATATCAAGTACCTTTACTGCACCAGTGTGGAGAAATGCCACAATAAAAGTCTCATTGAAACGACCACCCGGGGGTGCAGTTTGGAAAGTGAAGAAAAGAAGAGCAGGAGAAACGTGTAGAAGAGAGAAAGGTTCATAATGTTGATTATATATTTATTATTATATATTTATTGATTATATATTTATTTATTATATATGTATTTATTATATATTTATTGATTATATATGTATTTATTATATATTTATTGATTATATATATTTATTTATTATATATTTATTTATTATATATTTATTTATTGGTTGACCTGGGTTGGCCTGGGTTGGCCTGCGTTGGCCTGGGTTGGCCTAGCTACAGTGTATAGCGTTAGCACTTTGTGTGCTCTGACATTAAACTGAGTGGATGTGAAGAGTCTATTATTTCTGTCCATACAGCAACATTAGATTAGATCCAGTTTGGATTAGTTTTAACTTTACTGTGAAGTTCAAGTCCCGTGAAATAGAGTTTTACATCCAACCAGAGAGCAGACTCGTGCTGAGTGAGTCAGTGCCTCATGTGCAGAGGAGGATATCAACATGTGGACTTTATAGAGCGAGGGGATAAAGATGAGCGTATACACTGATGAACACAGATAAGTATCTATTATATATTATATAATGATATATACAGGTAGAGTATGTTTATGCAGAGAGCTGTGCACAGAGAGCTGTGAGCATATAATCCGTCATGCGGCTCATTGTCTGTCTCACTGAAACTCACACACACTGAGCAGCAACGTTGGACACAAACAAACCCCCTCCTCTCTTTATCACACACACACACACACCAAGTCCCCCCCCCACCTGTAGTTCTACATGCTTGAAAAATGGAGTGAGATCGACAGTCCAAGAGGAAAGGTGGAGCAGAGAGGATGAGGCTAAAAGCTAAAAGCACTGACCACAGATCAGCTCAGTGCTGTAAAATAACTGATGTTTGTCAGTGAGGGAGCAGTCAGACATTGAACACTAGTGGAGACAACAGACACACAACCAGAGTCTATCCAGCTCTATGAGGAGGGTAGATCCACTTTGTGGAAGCTGATGGGATAAACTGACTTAATAAAACTAATGTTTTAAGTTGTAACAAAGAATAGTGCAGTTTTAGTTTTATAATTTAATAATATATGTTGGGGGCTCCTGGTGAGCTCAGTGAGTAGAGCTGGCAACCCATGTACTGAGGCTGAGTCCTTGCTGCAGCGGCCCAGGGTTCGAATGAGACCTGCGGCCCTTTGCTGCGTGTCATCCTCTCTCTCTGTCCCCCTTTCCTGTCTATCTTCAGCTATCTCTATCATAAAGGCAATAAAAGCCCCAAAAATTACTTTAAAATAATAATATTATTATATGTTGTATGTAGATTTGGAGTTGTAACGAAAGTAATTCCCCCAGGGATTATTAAAGTATTTCTGATTGTGATTCTCATTGTGATGACAGTGGTGGACAGCAGCAGTGAAGAGTTCATCAGGAACATCATTTCAGTTCTGTGATTAGAGTACAGGTTGTTGCAGAAACCTTTATTTTGTAGTAAAGAAACAGAGAGTGTGTGTGTGTGTGCATGTGGAGCCTTTGCTTTATTATCTTACACTCTAACATCAGCAGGCTCCCAACCTCACAGACACAGACAGAAACACAGACAGACACACAGACTGATTCACAGACAGAAACAGGCTCCCAACCTCACTCACTCTTGGTGTTTTGCATTAATCGGGTGGTGGTGGCCTGGGATGGGATCAAACTCCCGGCCACACAGAATGACACCTTATTAAACAGTTCATATTATTATAATGCTCTACTGGTAATATTTACAGTTATTGATCTCTTTCAGTCCCTCTACCTACAATAAAGGTCTGTCTGTCCACAGGGAGAGACACTGTGTCTCTGTCTGTCCACAGGGAGAGACACAGTGTGTCTGTCTGCTCATGGTTCGTTATAGAAGGACTCCCAGAGAGTCTGTTACCTCTGTGTTATATCTGAGGATGGAGGAGCTTTACTGGGGGGGTTGAAGGTGACACACAGACAGAAACACAGACAGAAACACAGACAGAAACACAGACTGATTCACAGACTGATTCACAGACAGAAACACAGACAGAAACACAGACAGACACACAGACAGACACACAGACAGAAACACAGACAGACACACAGACAGACACACAGACAGAAACACAGACTGATTCACAGACTGAAACACAGACAGAAACACAGACAGAAACACAGACAGAAACACAGACTGATTCACAGACTGAAGCAGACAGACGGACGGAGACAGAACGAGGTGAGCAGATCTTTAACTGTCTGTCTGATAATACCACCTTAAATAAAGCAGGACACCTTAAGCAGTGACAGCAGACTGAGCAACGTTCAGCTTGTTTCAGCGTCTGCGTGTTTACTTACTGTTAATAAAGTTAACCAGAGCAAACACCAGCTGACCTCTGACCCCTGGAGGAGCCAATCACAGGGAGTTAATCAGTGTCCGAGGACGAGAGTGGAGGGAACCACGGAGACCGGCTGAACAACAACAGTTATATTAAATATTATATTAAATAATAATAATCACATTCCTGCTCCATCAGCATTAGCATTAGCAGAGACTGACAGTAACTGTCTGTCTGTCCTCTGCAGGTCGACATGGACGCCATCAGGACTCGTCTGAGACAGGTGAGACAGGTGAGACTTAAAGCTCCTCCCCCTCTGACCTGTAGCTATGGTTACGTCTCTCTCTCCAGTCTTCCTCAGTGGGCGTGGCCGAGGATGAGGAGGTGAGGTTTGTGACATCAGAGGCTGAGGAGGAGGTGGAGGCGGGGCCTATCAGTGACATCACAGCACTGGTGCTGCGGTATCGCCATGGTTACCGGAGAGCAGGTGTGTTCCTGTGTGTGTGTGGGGTCGTCATCTTCATCACAGGTAAACACACACACACACACAGACACACACTGACACACACACACACAGTGTGGAGCTCTCACACAGACTTTTATTGTGGAGGGTGTTTCCTCTGCAGCAGCCTGATCAATATGTGTATCAATCATTGATTATCAGTGTCAGTAATAGTTCATAAACTGGGAACTGTTTTTATCTTTTATGGTTCAATGACACAGTTACAGTAACTCCGCCCCCTAGAGCTGTAACAGGATCAATACGTACTGGCTGCTCGCATCACTGGTTCTCTGCTGGTTCTCTGCTGGTTCTCTGCTGCTGGTTCTCTACTGCTGGTTCTCTGCTGCTGGTTCTCTGCTGCTCGCATCACTGGTTCTCTGCTGGTTCTCTGCTGGTTCTCTTTTTTTAGTATTTGTGCCTTTTATTACAGTGACAGCTGAAGACAGACAGGAAAGAGGGCAGAGAGAGAGAGAGAGGATGACACACAGCAAAGGGCCACAGGTCAGATTCGAACCCTCAGCCTCGGTACATGGGTCGCCAGCTCTACCCACTGAGCCAACTGGGCACCCTGTCTGCTGGTTCTCTGCTGGTTCTCTGCTGGTTCTCTGCTGCTGGTTCTCTGCTGGTTCTCTACTGGTTCTCTGCTGGTTCTCTACTGGTTCTCTACTGGTTCTCTACTGGTTCTCCAGTTTTACAACTGTTTCTTTACTGTTATAATTATTATTAGCTGCAGCCTTCTCTAGTTAAAGTATGACGTCAGCATCCAACACGTGCAACTTCCCTGGATGTGAGAAACACCCTCCCCTCCCCTCCTCACCCCCCTCCCCACCCTCTCCTCACCCCCTCCCCACCCTCTCCCTCACCCCCCTCCTCACCCTTTCCTCACCCTTTCCTCACCCTCTCCTCACCCCCTCCCCTCCCTCTCCTCTCCTCACCCCCTCCCCACCCTCTCCTCACCCCCTCCCCCACCCTCTCCTCACCCTCTCCTCACCCTCTCCTCACCCCCCTCCTCACCCTTTCCTCACCCCTCTCCTCACCCCCTCCCCACCCCCTCCTCACCCTCTCCTCACCCCCTCCTCACCCCTCCAGTATTTAATTATTGATAAATGAATCAGACACATTCAGGTTTTATACAGAATTTATTTCAATATTTCAATTTAATTTATAACCAACAACCTCCTCAGAGTGTTTGTGTGTGTGTATCAGTGTGTGTGTGTGTGTATCAGTGTGTGTGTGTGTGTGTGTGTGTGTGTATCAGTGTGTATGTGTGTGTGTGTGTATCAGTGTGTGTGTGAGTGTGTGTGTGTGAGAGTGTGTGTGAGTATCAGTGTGTATGTGTGTGTGTGTATCAGTGTGTGTGTGTGTGTGTGTGTGTATCAGTGTGTGTGTGTGTATCAGTGTGTATGTGTGTGTGTGTGGGTGTGTATCATGTGTGTGTGTGTGTGGAGTGTGTGAGTGTGTGTGTGTGTGTGTGTGTGTATCAGTGTGTGTGTGTGTGTGTGTGTATCAGTGTGTATGTGTGTGTGAGTGTGTGAGTATCAGTGTGTGTGTGTGTGTGTGTATCAGTGTGTATGTGTGTGTGTGTGTGTATCAGTGTGTATGTGTGTGTGTGTGTGTGTGTGTATCAGGATAATAAATATTCAGATATGATTTTATAACTTTATTAAAGTGTTGCTGTCAGTGCTCAGAAAGAAGCGACGACCTCAAGTAACCCCGCTGTGTGTGTGTGTGTGTGTGTGTGTGAGTGAGTGTGTGTGTGAGTGTGTGTGTGTGAGTGTGTGTGTGTGTGTGAGATGATATTACATCATCAATAATTAGGATTATTTTTATTATAATAATTATTAGAATTATTCACATGACCCTGATATTCAGTCTAAAAACACTGGAACCATCAGAAACCAGTTGCCATGGTTACACACCGCTCGCTGTCACAGGTGGAGGACAGCGTCTCCTTCCTCCCAAAGCACTGTGGGTAATGGAGTCCTTCCCTACACTGTGCTGACGACTCTCTGGAATCATGGGTACTGTAGTCCAGAACAGACCCACAGACAGGGATCGTGGCTAGGAGAACTTCAGCTGGGATTTGTGGGTAATGTAGTCCATCTGTGCTGTAGATATCTGTGGGCGGTGTAATCCTTCACTGGAGCTGGGAACTGTGGGTAATGTAGTCCACCGCAGTTGGATTAAAAATGGAAGTGTTCAGTTTCCCCCTTTTGTTGTTGCTAAGCAACCAGAGAGACGCTGGTCGCTAAAACCTGCAGCAACGGAGGAGGACTGTTGTAGTCCAGAGGAGGAGGGTTGTGGGCTTTGTAGTCCAGATGAAAGGAGTTTAGGATGATGCTGTCAGAGGCATTGTGGGTGTTATAGTCCAAACGAGGAAGATGGTTGGTGTTGTAGTCCAAGCAGAAGGAGGATTGTGGGTGTTGTAGTCTAGTGTTTGATACTTTAAGCCCTGAATAGACTGTGTGTTTGAGCCCCATCGTTTTATTTACAGTCACACAAGTCTTTATGTACACTACACACACACACACACACACACACACACGCACACACACACACACACACACACACACACACACACACACACACACACACACACACACACACGCACACACACACGCACACACACACACACACACACACACACGCACACACACACACACACGCACACACACACACACACACACACGCACACACACACGCACACACACACACACACACACACACACGCACACACACACACACGCACACACCATTTTCACGTCACATAAATAAATCAATCAATCAATAGATAAATCAATAAATAAATAGGATAATATAAATACTTCAATACCAACTGAACTCTACAGTCCTGATTCATTATTTACTGATAATACAGGATTATTGAATCAACACATAATCAATCAATCAATCATCACCTGTCTCTCCCCACGTAATAGAGAGACAGACAGCTCGGTTGCCGTGGTTACAGCATCCATCCAATTGTCGTCTTCCCGTAGAAAGAAAACCGTAAAAAGACAAACGTCAGCCCTCCGTCAGGTCCCGCCGCCGCTGAGAGGAGAAGGGGGGGGCAACAGCAGTTACCATGGAGACGGCGCCCTGGGGCTGGCAGTGACCAATCAGAGTCTGTCGCGGGCGGGAACCCAGATGTAAGGGCCGCTCTGCTCCTCGATGACGGCTTTGACCAGGTGGTAGACCTCCTCGAAGCTGTCGCCATGCACGATGGCTGCACACACACACACACACACACACACACACACACACACACACACACACACACACAGTTACCATCAGACTTGAGAAGCTCTGACCTTCTGAATGCTTCAGGTGTGTTTTTACCTGTGAAACACTCCAGGAAGTCCTGTTCCAGTTTGATGGCTCGATCCAGAGCTTTCCTCGCCTGATCCTCCGACAGACGCTTGTTCAGATCCCTGCACACACACACACACACACACACACACACACACACACACACACACACAGACACACACACACACACACACACACACACACACACACACACACACACACACACACACACACACACACACACACAGACACACACACACACACACACACACACACACACACAGACACACACACACACACACACACACACACACACACACACACACAGACACAGACACACACACACATACACACACACAGACACACACACACACACAGACACACACACAACAACACCACACACCACACCAACACACACACACACACACACAGACACACACACAGACACACACACATACACACACACACACACACACACACACACACACACACACACACACACACACACACACACACACACACACACACACACACACACACACACACACACACACACACAGACACAGCACAGACACACACACACACACACACACACACACACACACACACACACACACACACACACACACACACACACACACAGACACACACACAGACACACACACAGACACACACACACATCCCATTAACGTGCTGCAGGTATTTGCTCCGCCTCTAATGACCTCACTGAGGGCGTGGTCACTTACAGGATGTTCTCCAGGGAGCGCGGTCTGATGAAGATGGCGACGGGATGAAGCTGAGCCGCCTGCAGCCTCCTCACTGCGTTTGCAGACACGTCCAGGATGCAGTGTTTCCCCTGGAAACACACACAGTCCCTGCCGTCACCATGGTGATCAACCTTTAACCTTTACCATGACAACCATGACAGCCATGGCAACCATAGCATCCTAGAAACCAGTGTCACTAGGATGCATGCTGCAGGAAATGGTCGCCACGGTTACCATACTCCTGTCTAAAAACTAAATCCTGGATGTGTCGGTTTCCTCCCATCACCGTGGCAACTGGCGTGTCTCACCTGCTCGGCCACCTGTCTGACGCTCTGCACCGACGTCCCGTACAGGTGGTTGTTGTACTGCCCCGCCTCGATGAAGCGGTGGGACTGGATGTCCCGCTCCATCTGTTCCCGTGACGACACAAAGTGGTAGTCCCGCCCATCGGCCTCGTAGTCCCTCCGAGGGCGAGTCGTGTCTGCGAGGAGAGAGAGTTCATCAGTCACTTCCTGTTTGTTTACATCACGCTTCCTGTTGTAGAGCGTGGACGCTTACGAGGGACGCAGGAGCCGAACTTGTCCGGGAACTCGGACAGCAGGTCGTCATTGACTCGGTCCTTGGTCGGCCCCAAGATGATGACGGGACGAGCGTAGTCCACTACAGACAGAGAGAGAGAGGAAACTTTATTCATACCTGCTCGTCATTAACAAACACTCACCTGGACGGTAGAATCAACACCTGAACAGAGACAAACACACACTCACTAAAAGCTTTATTGTTTCTCCTGCAGGGACAGCTTCGGACTGTGGTTGTTCACTGTCTCTTTGTGGTTGTTTACTGTCTCTTTGTGGTTGTTTACTGTCTCTTTGTGGTTGTTTACTGTCTCTTTGTGGTTGTTTACTGTCTCTTTGTGGTTGTTTACTGTCTCTTTGTGGTTGTTTACTGTCTCTTTGTGGTCGTTCACTGTCTCTTTGTGGTCGTCTCTTTGAAGTCGTTTACTGTCTCTTTGTGGTTGTTTACTGTCTCTTTGTGGTTGTTTACTGTCTCTTTGTGGTCGTCTCTTTGAAGTCGTTTACTGTCTCTTTGTGGTTGTTTACTGTCTCTTTGTGGTTGTTTACTGTCTCTTTGTGGTCGTTCTTTGTGTTCACTGTCTCTTTGTGGTCGTCTCTTTGAAGTCGTTTACTGTCTCTTTGTGGTTGTTTACTGTCTCTTTGTGGTTGTTTACTGTCTCTTTGTGGTCGTTCACTGTCTCTTTGTGGTCGTCTCTTTGAAGTCGTTTACTGTCTCTTTGTGGTTGTTTACTGTCTCTTTGTGGTTGTTTACTGTCTCTTTGTGGTTGTTTACTGTCTCTTTGTGGTTGTTTACTGTCTCTTTGTGGTCGTCTCTTTGAAGTCGTTTACTGTCTCTTTGTGGTTGTTTACTGTCTCTTTGTGGTTGTTCACTGTCTCTTTGTGGTCGTTTCCTGTCTCTTTGTGGTCGTCTCTTTAGTCGTTTACTGTTTGTTACTTTGTGGTCACGTTTGAGTTTTTGGGTTGTTTACTGTCTCTTTGTGGTCGTTCGTCTCTTTGTGGTTGTTTACTGTCTCTTTGTGGTCGTCTCTTTGTGGTTGTTTACTGTCTCTTTGAAGTCGTTTCCTGTCTCTGTGGTTTGCAGTGAGTTGTTGTGGGGAAACTAGTGTGTGTAAGGTTTAGTGTGTTTGGGTCCAGCAGGAAGTGAACTGAACAACAGAAACTTTAATGTGTGAGAGACAGATTATTTCTACCATTGGGGTCAAAGGTTACAGTGACACTGACCTTCAATCTGAGTGATGAGCTCGTAGCTGTGGACGAAACCTTCCCTCCCTGTGAAAGGAAACAAAGAGTTACACACTCATTCAACCTTCCCTTCAGTGTGTGTGTGTGTGTGTGTGTGTGTGCATCAGGAGGTTGACCTTTACTCTTCATGCGCGACCACTCCTTCCTCTCCACTCTGAAACACAAACAGAGTGTGTCAGTGGCGCGGTGCAGAGTGCTGCAGTTGTTGGACAGTGTGTGTTTTATATCAACCTGTGCTTGGAGGGGATGTATCCCAGCTCCTCCAGCTCCCCCTGCTGGGTCACTCGTCGGGCCTGCCACCACTCGTCATCGGCGCTGTCCATCACATGAAAGACCTCCCCGAAGTTAAAGTCCAGAGCTTGTGATAGGACGCCGCAGTCCCACTGCTTATCATAGTCGAACAGGGCCCTGAAACCGCCCACAGTGCACCACGTCAGTACTGAGCGTACGATCACCTGTACTGATTTCTGCTGACTACCTGCCCAGGTGAGGACGCAGGTTACCTGACGTAGAAGCTGCGGTTGGCTCTCAGGCTTCCAGACGAGCTGTTCATCATCTGCTCTCTCAGGTCGTGGATCTTTGCTTCAAAACGGCTGTACTCTGCACACACACACACACACACACACACACACACACACACACACACATACACACACACTCATTGTAGGACTTCATTGTGGACACACTAACCCCAACCAGGACTTCGCTGCATTAGGACCGTCTGCTGGTCACAACAAGGTGAGTGACAGCCATGAGGTCCACACAATACTGTCATTAATGCATAGTTAGTGTGTGTGTGTGTGTGTGTGTGTGTGTGTGTGTGTGTGTGTGTGTGTGTGCGCTCACCTTCAGGTCTGTACTGTGCTACTATGGTAACAGTCTGTCCGGCATTCTTCAGAGCTGCTGCTGCCTGTTCATGTGTGGCATACCTGAGATCCACACCGTTCACCTGCACACACACACACACACACACACACACACACACACACACGCACACGCACACGCACACACACACACACACACACACACACACACACACACACACACACACACACGCACATGCACACACACACACACCCACACCCACTAATTGTTAATCCTATTGTAATATCTGTAAACAATATGATGTAATTAATATAAAAAAATAAAGAAGTAACAGTCATTATAAGTAACCAGTACAATGTCATTAGTGATATTCACAGATTATAGATTATGAATCAGAAATATTAATGGTAAGAGTACATTATCATTATGATCATTGGTATTTCATTATGAGTATTAATGTTGTCACAGACATGTTGGAATCAGAGTCTGTTATCTGATATAAAAACAGGTAAACAATAAATAATGCAGTAACAGTGTTTAATATTTGAGTCAGTACAACGTTTCTCCAGCAGAGGGCGCTCTGATTTACATACTGTGGAGTGAAGAAGAAGAAACTCTCAGCAATGAAACTAGAACTAGAACTAATGTTTATGTTCAGTTATTGAACTGATAAATATTGAACTGAAATATTCTGAAGTTATTATTAAATTACATTTACAGTATCAGAGCTCAATACACAGAGAACACCACAGATCAGATCTGGTCTCTGTACTCTGAGGATCTGGTCTAACACTGAGGAGGATGTGGTCTGTGTACTCACACTGAGGATCTGGTCTAACACTGAGGAGGATGTGGTCTGTGTACTCACACTGAGGATCTGGTCTAACACTGAGGAGGATCTGGTCTAACACTGAGGAGGATCTGGTCTGTGTACTCACACTGAGGAGGATCTGGTCTAACACTGAGGAGGATCTGGTCTGTGTACTCACACTGAGGATCTGGTCTCCCTTCCTGAGCTCTCCGCTCAGGTCTGCTGGTCCTCCTGCCAGGATGAAGGAGATGAAGATCCCCTCTCCGTCCTCTCCACCCACGATGTTGAAGCCCAGGCCGGTGGACCCACGCTGCACACAAACCCTGCGGGGCTCTCGGGAGTAATCGTCCTCCCCCATCATGCCGCGGGGGATGGGTGAGTATCGTCGTGGTGACGGAGGAGGGAGGGCTTGTGGGTAATCGCACATGTAGTCCGGCTCCATGTAGGCTGCAGAGAAATAAAGGACACGTTACACTGTGTCCCCTAGTGTCTGGTCCTCAATCGGTGGACAGGGTTCACACAGGCCTAAAGGGGGGCCAGACCTTTGTCCCAAAACCCCCAAAAAGGTCCCATTAGTCTCCGAACAAAGTCCAAGTACTCTTTAAATACCAGCTCGTAAAACTGAACTGAACATACCTACATAACCTAACAAAGCAAACTGGTTCTTAGAAGGTTCTCAAGCTGAACAAAATCTGAACCAGAACCAACACCAGAACTAGCACCAGGTTCTCACTGTTGTTGTATCTGTACAGCACGTTCCAGGTGTTAGAAACAGGAAGTTCACAGGTGTACGTACAGCTGGTCAGGTCGGGGGGGCTGTATCGATCAGCAGGGTGGATGTACTGCGAGGTGGGCGTGGCCACCTTCAGGTAGACCACCTCCCCTGTGTTCTTCAGGGCCGAGACAGCGTCTTCATGCAGGACGTCCTCCAGAGACACATGGTTCACCTGCCGGGGGTCAAAGGTCAGGTCAGACTAGAACCCTGTGGACTAACAATATAGAAGGATCTAGAAGTTGGGTTTTTACATACAGCCAGTATTTTGTCTCCGATCTGTAGCCGTCCGTCGCGGTGGGCCGCCCCGCCCTCGATGATCTTGGTGACGTAGATGCTGTTGTCTCCAGGAACATGTTGGTTCCCCACACCGCCGGCTATACTGAAGCCCAGACCTGGACCACACAGAGACAGAACCATTATAAAGATTAATGTTTGATCACTGGAGAACCTTCTCAACAGGGTTCCTCAAAACAATGTACAGGTTTTTAACATTTCTAATGGGTTCTCTAAAGGAACATAAAGTCAGTAAAGAACCTTCCTAACAGGGTTCCTCAAAACAATGTACAGGTTTTTAACATTTCTAATGGGTTCTCTAAAGGAACATAAAGTCAGTAAAGAACCTTCCTAACAGGGTTCCTCAAAACACTGTACAGATTTTTAACATTTCTAATGGGTTCTCTAAAAGGACATAAGGATCTAAGCACTGTAAAGACAGCAAAGAACCTTCCCAACAGGGTTCCTCACAACACTGTACAGGTTTTAAACATTTCTAATGAGTTCTCTAAAGGAACATAAAGACAGTAAAGAACCTTCCTAACGGGGTTCCTCAAAACACTGTACAGGTTTTTAACATTTCTAATGGGTTCTCTAAAGGAACATAAAGTCAGTAAAGAACCTTCCTAACAAGGTTCCTCAAAACACTGTACAGATTTTTAACATTTCTAATGGGTTCTCTAAAAGGACATAAGGATCTAAGCACTGTAAAGACAGCAAAGAACCTTCCCAACAGGGTTCTTAAAAAAAATTTATTTTTAAATTTCTATGGGATTTTAATTTATGGGTTTAAGGAACATAAAGTGTAAGAATGGTAAATGGACCTGTACTTTTATAGCCTTTTTTTTTTTTTCCTAAAGCGTTTTAATGTGCCCCTTTCAAAGACATTCACTCAGTGATGGCAAAGAACCAATCCCAACAGGGTTCGACATGGCCGCCGACACCCAACCTTCCGATACCCGCTCTGCCTCTGAGCCACAGCCGCCCCAAAAAAACCTTCCAAAAAAGTTTTCTTAAACACTGTACAGATTTTTAACATTTCTAATGGGTTCTCTAAAAGGACATAAGGATCTAAGCACTGTAAAGACAGCAAAGAACCTTCCCAACAGGGTTCCTCACAACACTGTACAGGTTTTAAACATTTCTAATGAGTTCTCTAAAGGAACATAAAGACAGTAAAGAACCTTCCCAACAGGATTCCTGTTTTTAAATTTTAAAGTTTTTCTTTAAAATGTTCTCGAGGGTACACGTTCTACAAGGGTTCCTACCTTTAGGTCCTTTCATTAGTTTGATCTGTGTGATGCGCTCTGTCGGTGGGCGTCGCCGCAGGACGTACAGCCTGACGACAGGGCCCGCCTCCTTCAGCGCCTCCACGGCGATGGAGTGAGTGACCTCACGCACGTCCACGTCGTTAACAAATACGATGCTGTCATTCACCCTGGAGACGGAGGGAGAGAGAAACCATCGTGAGGACATTTTGGCTGGTCCTCCATGGTTGTTTAGGATTCAGGTTAGAACCAGATTAGAACCAGGTTCAGGTTCAGGTTCAGGTTTAGGTTCAGGGGCTGGAAGTACGTTATACTTTATATATATATATATATATTTATATCGCTGAGGGGCCTCACAAGTACAGACAGACATAAGAGTGTGTGTGAGTACCTGAGGCGTCCGTCCTGGGCGGCGGCTCCTCCAGGGATGATCTTGGTGATGAAGATGGACGGGTCGTCTCCGATGTGAGGATTATCAGTTCCTCCTGCGATGCTGAAGCCCAGACCAGAGTTCCCCTGAACACACGCACACACACACACACACACACACACACACACACACACACACACACACACACATTATAACGCATATAAATAATAAAAGGTCATAATGTGTTAATATAGTAATAATATCTGTTAAAGTACAGTCAGATTGTATCACTGTGATCAGGTCTGTATCAGCTGTGTGATAGTGTGTGTGTGCACTGACAGTTGTGTGATAGTGTGTGTGTGCACTGACAGTTGTGTGATAGTGTGTGTGCGCACTGACAGCTGTGTGATAGTGTGTGTGTGCACTGACAGCTGTGTGATAGTGTGTGTGTGCACTGACAGTTGTGTGATAGTGTGTGTGTGCACTGACAGTTGTGTGATAGTGTGTGTGTGCACTGACAGTTGTGTGATAGTGTGTGTGTGCACTGACAGCTGTGTGATAGTGTGTGTGTGCACTGTGAACTGTTTCACTGATTAAAGTTCATCTTGGGTTGGTTTCATCTCTAAAATGGTTCTAAAATAAGCGGGCGGGAGCTAAAAATAACCTGCTGTTGTCAGCCGGGTGGAGTTTATTTCTGGAGAACGCAGCGTTTAAACACACAGTGACAGTTTCTAAAAACAGCAGAGAGGAGCCACAAATACCTCAGTGACAGAGACACACTGCTGCTACCTGTGTGTGTACCACAGTGTGTGTGTACCACAGTGTGTGTGTACCACAGCGTGTGTGTGTGTGTGTGTGTGTGTACCACAGTGTGTGTGTGTGTGTGTGTGTGTACCACAGTGTGTGTGTACCAAGTGTGTGTGTGCGTGTGTGTGTGTGTACCACAGTGTGTGTGTGTACCACAGTGTGTGTACACAGTGTGTGTGTACCACAGTGTGTGTGTGTGTGTGTACCAGTGTGTGTGTGTGTGTGTGTGTGTGTGTGTACCACAGTGTGTGTGTACCACAGCGTGTGTGTGTACCACAGCGTGTGTGTGTACCACAGTGTGTGTGTGTACCACAGTGTGTGTGTACCACAGCGTGTGTGTACCACAGTGTGTGTGTGTGTGTGTGTGTGTACCACAGTGTGTGTGTGTGTGTACCACAGTGTGTGTGTACCACAGTGTGTGTGTACCGCATGTGTGTGTGTGTGTGTGTGTGTGTACCACAGTGTGTGTGTACCACAGTGTGTGTGTGTGTGTGTACCACAGTGTGTGTGTACCACAGTGTGTGTGTACCACAGTGTGTGTGTGTGTGTGTGTGTGTGTGTGTGTGTGTGTGTACCGCGGTGTGTGTGTGTGTGTGTGTACCACAGCGTGTGTGTGTGTGTACCACAGTGTGCAGTGTGTGTACAGTGTGTGTGTACAGTGTGTATGTTACAGTGTGTACTACAGTGTGATGTACAGTGTGTGTATATTACCGTAGTGTATGTTACAGTGTGTATGTTACAGTGTGTAATACAGTGTGTAATACAGTGTGTGTATATTACAGTGTGTAATACAGTGTGTATATTACAGTGTGTATGTTACAGTGTGTAATACAGTGTGTAATACAGTGTGTGTATATTACAGTGTGTAATACAGTGTGTATATTACAGTGTGTATATATTAGTGTGTAATACATTGTGTATATTACAGTGTGTATGTTACAGTGTGTAATACAGTGTGTATATTACAGTGTGTAATACAGTGTGTGTATATTACAGTGTGTAATACAGTGTGTGTATATTACAGTGTGTAATACAGTGTGTATATTACAGTGTGTATATTACAGTGTATATTACAGTGTGTATATTACTGTGTGTAATACAGTGTGTATATTACAGTGTGTATTTACAGTGTGTATGTACAGTGTGTATATTACAGTGTGTAATACAGTGTGTATATTCAGTGTTATGTAACAGTGTTAATACAGTGTGTATATTACAGTGTGTAATACAGTGTGTATATTACAGTGTGTATATTACAGTGTGTATATTACAGTGTGTAATACAGTGTGTATATTACAGTGTGTATATTACAGTGTATATTACAGTGTGTATGTTACAGTGTGTATATTACAGTGTGTATATTACAGTGTGTATGTTACAGTGTGTAATACAGTGTGTATATTACAGTGTGTATGTAACAGTGTGTATTAGTGTGTCTCACCCTCTCCAGTGTGATCTCTTCGTACTCCAGCTCTCCCTCTGATCCGTTCATCTGTAAAAACAGAGAAGCTTTAATCACATCCAGCATCTCTCTCCACTGACTGCTCGTCTCCATGGCAACTCCATGGTAACAGCTGTTGAGCCCTCAGGGGGCCGGTTACCTAGGCAACTCTAACTGTAGCTATAGCGACCACCTTTCTCTCTCTCTCTCTCATATCATCTCTTCCACACAGTCATCAGCGCTCCACAGCATGGTCATTACATCACTTCCTGTTTGTTTCCACTAAAATGATGATGATGATGATGATGATGATGATGATGATGATGATCCCCACTGTATCCTGCTGTCATGGTAAATGGACCTGTGCTTGTATAGCGCCTTTCTGCTTTTACACTACGTGCCACATTCACTCTTTCACACACACTCACCCTTTCACACACACTCACTCTTTCACACACACTCACCCTTTCACACACACTCACCCTTTCACACACTCACTCTTTCACACACACTCACTCTTTCACACACATTCACCCTTTCACACACATTCACTCTTTCACACACACTCACCTTTCACACACATTCACCCTTTCACACACACTCACCCTTCACACACACTCACTCTTTCACACACACTCACCCTTTCCACACACTCACCCTTTCACACACATTCACTCTTCACACACTCACTCTTTCACACACACTCACCCTTTCACACACATTCACTCTTTCACACACACTCACTCTTTCACACACACTCACCCTTTCACACACACATTCACCCTTTCACACACACTCACTCTTTCACACACACTCACTCTTTCACACACATTCACCCTTTCACACACACTCACCCTTTCACACACACTCACTCTTTCACACACACTCACTCTTTCACACACACTCACCCTTTCACACACATTCACTCTTTCACACACATTCACTCTTTCACACACACTCACCCTTTCACACACACTCACTCTTTCACACACACTCACTCTTTCACACACACTCACCCTTTCACACACATTCACTCTTTCACACACACTCACCCTTTCACACACATTCACTCTTTCACACACACTCACCCTTTCACACACATTCACTCTTTCACACACACCATTCACTCAGCAAAGTCCATTGAACAGAAACTAACTCATTCACACACATTCACCCTTTCACATTCTCAGCTCATTGTTTAATACAACTCGGTCCTCTTTCCTAGCGTTGTGTTTGTTGTCACGTGATTCTGATCATGTTCTGATCACGTTCTGATATTGATTCTTAGCGTTCTGAGTTTAAAGGTTTTTCTGACGGGGAACTGAAGTCGTGGCTCAAACAGTAATTTAACCTCTTCCACTTTCCTGTTTTAACTCCAGCATTCAGATCCCAACTTAGGTTGTTTCTGCAGATCTCAGCAGCTGTAGACCAGGAACTGTTCTGAGAGTAAAATGTGTGTTTTTATGAACAGAGTCTGGTGGTGAGGTTAGGATTGGGGTACACTTAAACCAATGTAGATTTGTTAACATAGGTTAGGTTTGCTGCTGCCTCATCAACAGAACTGTTCTCAGTTCTCATGAACAACAACTTTTCAATCAAAGCTCCTCGTGGTTTCTCGGTTTGATCAATTTGAGCAACAGAACAGGTCTTTAGAGAGATTGTGACAGTGCCTCCAATGTAGGAAATCACTTCCTGCCCTCCATCAGCAGTTAGCGCCACAGGAACGCAGCCACGCCATGTGCAAACAAGATATTGAAATGTTAGTGTCTCCCTGCAGCGTTATTAATGGCTGACACCGTCTCCATCACGTCCAACAGCATCAATGTGTTATCGCGTTCTCCTGCAGGTCTCTGTGCACAGTCAGTTGATACCAGGATGCACTTCAGGTGGACACAGAGTTCCTAACAGCTTCAAAAGGCTGAATAAAACCAACAGAATCAGCTCATAATGAGGTAAAAGCTGTCTGTCTGACCGCCTGTCTGTCTGACTGTAACAACTGTGCTTCGGTCCCTGAAGGGCTGAGCAGCTGTCAACACTACAACACACAGTTCACTTCATTGTGTTTGTCTCTGGAGGATCTGGAGGAGAGAGAGCTTCAATAGAGTTATATAACAGAGAGAGAGAGGGGGCGAGAGAGGTAGACTGACAGCAGGGGAGAGAGAGAGACTGTGTTACAGTTCTCTGTGAATTAATTAAACCTTTTCTACATTTCCCCTGACAGCTCTCTCTCTCTCTCTCTCTCTGCCACTCTGTCTCTATGTCTCTCGACCACACAGGGTGCAATGACAGAGGGTTGTTGAAAGGTCAGAAACATCGAGACCTTCAGGCTGAGGACCGGTCCACAACAAACCTGGACCACGAGGACCGAACACAGGAGGACTCGGCCGTTAACGTCCACTGTGTCTGAACTGGTCCAACATAAACCTTTCATTGTTTATCTCCTCCGTCTCTGTCCGTCTGTCCTCCAGTGTCTGTCCAACAGGGACAGGAAGTCCTGGTTCAGGTGTCTTCAGGTGTTCTTAACGGTATTTTACAGTTTCCTGATAATAAAAGTATTTGATGACTCATCCACACTCGGGGGCGTGTACTAATGCTGCGTCCAATCAAACGCGTTACAGTCTACTTTATAGCTACATTAGCTTGCTAACTAGCATCATGCTTTGTAGAAAGGTAGCTAGCTAATGCTTGAGGTACATTAGTTACAGCTGAAAGATAATGTGAGCAAAATGTTAGCTTTAGGTGAAACTGGATCAGATTTAATGGAGAGGAGGTTCCCCTGAGAGGAGAGGAGTGAGAGGAGGGAGAGGGAGGAGGGGAGGAGGAGGGAGAAGAGGAGGGGGAAAGGAGTGAGAGGAGGAGGGAGAGGAGGTTTCCCTGAGAGGAGAGGAGAGGAGGGAGAGGAGGGAGAGGAGGAGTGAGAGGAGGGAGAGGAGTGAGAGGAGGGGGAGGAGGAGTGAGAGGAGGAGTGAGAGGGAGGTGAGAGGAGTGAGAGGAGGGAGAGGAGGAGTGAGAGGAGTGAGAGGAGGAGGGAGAGGAGGAGGGAGAGGAGGAGAGGAGGAGGGAGGAGGGAGAGGAGGAGGAGGGGAGGAGGAGGGAGAGGAGTGAGAGGAGGAGGGAGAGGAGTGAGAGGAGGAGTGAGAGGAGTGAGAGGAGGAGGGAGAGGAGGAGTGAGAGGAGTGAGAGAGGAGGAGTGAGAGGAGTGAGAGGAGGAGGGAGAGGAGTGAGAGGAGGAGGAGGGAGAGGAGGGTGAGGAGGAGTGAGAGGAGGGGGAGAGGAGTGAGAGGAGGGAGAGGAGGAGTGAGAGGAGTGAGAGGAGGAGGGAGAGGAGTGAGAGGAGTGAGAGGAGGAGGGAGAGGAGGAGGGAGAGGAGTGAGAGGAGTGAGAGGAGTGAGAGGAGGGAGAGAATATTTTTCTACTGAATATTTCCTTTTTACATGTTTTGTGTTCATTTGTTAATTTAATTTTTGTCAATAACATATTTTAATTTTAACATATCACCGAGTTAGAGTCCGATGTGTCCGATGTGTCCGATGTGTCTAATGTGTCCGATGTAACCGATGTGTCCGATGTGTCCGATGTGTCTGATGTGTCCGATGTAACCGGTGTGTCCGATGTGTCCGATGTATCCGATGTATTCGATGTATTTGATGTATCCGATGTAACCGATGTGTCCGATGTGTCCGATGTGTCTTATGTGTCCGATGTAACCGATGTGTCCGATGTAACCGATGTGTCCGATGTATCCGATGTGTCTGATGTGTCCGATGTATCCGATGTATCCGATGTGTCTGATGTATCCGATGTAACCGATGTGTCCGATGTGTCTTATGTGTCCGATGTGTCTGATGTGTCTTATGTATCCGATGTAACCGATGTGTCCGATGTGTCCGATGTAACCGATGTGTCCGATGTGTCTTATGTGTCCGATGTATCCGATGTAACCGATGTGTCCGATGTGTCTTATGTGTCCGATGTATCCGATGTAACCGATGTGTCCGATGTGTCCGATGTGTCCGATGTGTCTTATGTGTCGATGTGTCCGATGTGTCTTATGTGTCCGATGTATCCGATGTGTTTGATGTATCCGATGTATCCGATGTAACCGATGTGTCCGATGTGTCCGATGTGTCCGATGTATCCGATGTGTCCGATGTGTCCGATGTGTTCATGTGTCTGATGTAACCGATGTGTCCGATGTGTCCGATGTATCCGATGTGTCCCGTCTCTTTCCGGAACTTATTGATTATTGTTTCCTGAAGTCTTAAATTATGTCACAGCAGCTCCTGAAAAGTTTCCATGTTTGTAGACATTTTTACAATAAAGAAATTTAATTAGAGAATGAAATCTCAGTTTGGTGACGTACAGCTCAACGTTAGAACATAGCTCTAGTTTATACACTGATTATTGATTATTGATTGAATATAGAACATAGCTCTAGTTTATACACTGATTATTGATTATTGATTGAATATAGAACATAGCTCTAGTTTATACACTGATTATTGATTATTGATTGAATATAGAACATAGCTCGAGAGTTTATACACTGTTAATGATTATTGATTGAGTATAGAACATAGCTCTAGAGTTTATACACTTATGATTATTGATTATTGATTGAGTATAGAACATAGCTCTAGAGTTTATACACTGATTATTGATTATTGATTGAATATAGAACATAGCTCTAGAGTTTATACACTGTTAATGATTATAGATTATTGATTGAATATAGAACATAGCTCTAGTTTATACACTGATTATAGATTATTGATTGAATATAGAACATAGCTCTAGAGTTTATACACTGATTATAGATTATTGATTGAATATAGAACATAGCTCTAGAGTTTATACACTGTTAATGATTATAGATTATTGATTGAATATAGAACATAGCTCTAGAGTTTATACAATGTTAATGATTATAGATTATTGATTGAATATAGAACATAGCTCTAGAGTTTATACTATGTTTAATGATTATAGATTATTGATTGAACACACCCACCTGATCCCTCCTGAATCCAGTGAGTTCAGAGCCGGTGCCTGATCTCAAAACAGTTCTTTGATTTTCGACAGCCGAAGAACCGACTCACTGAAAACTGTCTCCAGTGCAGCTCCGACACTTCACTGGTCTAGAACCAAGAACCACAGAGCGCCCAGGGAACTGCACCTTTAAGGGCTCTTCTTCAGTTTGAGTAAGCTAATGTTGGAGACGTGTACAGTGACGTAATGATGTGGCTCTCTAGCCAAAGCAAACCGGTTCTTAGAGGGTTTTCGACTAACTCTGAACTGGAACTAGAACCAGAACCAGCAGTGGGTTCTCATTGGTGGTACAAGAGCAGACCAGGTGCACCAGGTGAGCCTGGATATTAAAATAAACTGTGATCTGCTAACGGATAACTGTAATAGCTGAATGAAGTCAGAATATTGGAGTTACACGAGGCGAAGGTCAAAGGTCTTGTTGCTAACTGAAGATAATGCTAACAGTGATAAGCTAACGAAGGCTACAAAAGACAAACAAATAAAATCCGATAAAGAAATACAGTGTAGCTGAGTTAGCTAGTTAGAGTTAGCCAAGTTCATGAAAATATCCCCCGACCTTTGACCTACGACATGCACCCGGTACAAACACTTGATTGGTCAGACTAAAGGCCCCTCCCCCTCCGGCCCAGAGCCAATCAGATGCTAATGAGAGGTTCCTACCATCATCCTCTGCCTGTGTCTCTTCGCTCTCCTCACGTTGTTGATGAATCTTCTTCCCATCTTCTTAGCGTACCACACCGACACAAACATCACTTCCTGTTTCCTCCCTCTCTCCCTCTCTCCCTCCCTCCCTCCCTCCCTCGCTCTGTTACATAAAGACTGACGGAGCGACGGATGAATAATTAACAACCAAACAGAAAATAAAACAACAGAAACGCTCTCAGCAGAACCTCGTTAAGATCGTTAGGTGTCGTTTCCTGGACGCGTTAACGAAGCCTCAGACATGACTGACAGCTCAGCACATCACTCTGTCATCCCTCGCTCCCCCAGAGAGAGAGAGAGAGAGAGAGAGAGAGAGGGGGAGAGGGGGAGAGAGGTGGTAAACGACAAGAATCCCTCGTTAGATGAAAAGAGAGAAATGAAGAACGAACGAATCCCCAGAAAAAAAAGAAAAAGAGAGAGAGGCTGTTTGTCACTCGCCCTCTCTGTCATCCCTCGTTCCTCCTCCGCTCGCCCGCTCGCTTTCTCTCTCTGCTCGACCCTCCTGACGCTCCACTGCACATTCTCTCTCTCTCTCTCTCTCTGTTTCTCTGTGTGTGTCTGTGTCTCTCGCTCGCTCTCTGAAGGAATCCCCTCCCCTATGTGATGTCACTTGGCCGCTGGCCGAGAGAGAGAGAGAGAGAGAGAGAGACAAAGAGAGAGAGAGAGAGAGACAGACATAAAGAGAGAGAGAGAGAGAGAAAACATAAAGAGAGATAGACATAAAGAGAGAGAGAGACATAGAGAGAGAGAGAGAGAGAGAAAAACAAAAAAGAGAGAGAGGAGAGAGAGAGACAGACATAAAGAGAGAGAGAGAGAGAGAAAAACATAAAGAGAGAGAGAGATAGACATAAAGAGAGAGAGAGAAAGAGGGAGAGAGAGAGAGAGAGACATAAAGAGAGAGGGAGAGAGATAAAGAGAGAGAGAGAGAGAGAGAGAGAGAGAGAGAGAGAGATAAAGAGACATAAAGAGAGAGGGAGAGAGATAAAGAGAGAGAGAGAGAGAGAGACATAAAGAGAGAGGGAGAGAGAGAGAGATAAAGAGACATAAAGAGAGAGGGAGAGAGATAAAGAGAGAGAGAGAGAGAGAGAGAGAGAGGGAGAGAGTAATTGAATTCTTACAAATTCTTCCAGCAAACACACACAGGCTAATGTTGTTGCCATGGTAACAACCCCCCTTGCCCCCCATTCTAATGGTTGCCATGGCGACAACTGAGCAAAAAAAGGGATGCATCACATTCAGAGTGGGCAGAGACAGCCCACACAGTGTGTGTGTGTGTGTGTGTGTGTGTGTTACAGTGTGTGTGTTACAGTGTGTGTGTTACAGTGTGTGTGTGTGTGTGTGTGTTTGTGTGTGTGTGTTACAGTGTGTGTGTTACAGTGTGTGTGTGTGTGTGTGTGTTTGTGTGTGTGTGTGTGTGTGACAGTGTGTGTGTGTGTGTGTGTGTGTGTGTGTTACAGTTTGTGTGTGTGTGTGTGTGTGTTTGTGTATGTGACAGTGTGTGTGTGTGTGTGTGTGTGTGTGTGTGTTACAGTTTGTGTGTGTGTTTGTGTGTGTTACAGTGTGTGTGTGTGTGTGTGTGTGTTACAGTGAGTGTTACAATGTGTGTGAGTGTTACAGTGTGTATATTACATTATGTGTGTGTGTGTTACAGTGTGTGTGTTACAGTGTGTGTGTGTGTTACAGTGTGTGTTACAGTGTGTGTGTGTGTTACAGTTTGTGTGTGTGTTTGTGTGTGTTACTGTGTGTGTGTGTGTGTGTGTGTGTGTTACAGTGAGTGTTACAATGTGTGTGAGTGTTACAGTGTGTATATTACATTGTGTGTGTGTGTGTTACAGTGTGTGTGTTACAGTGTGTATATTACAGTGTGTGTGTGTGTTACAGTGTGTGTTACAGTGTGTGTGTGTGTTACAGTGTGTGTTACAGTGTGTGTGTGTGTTACAGTTTGTGTGTGTGTTTGTGTGTGTTACAGTGTGTGTGTGTGTGTGTGTGTGTGTGTTACAGTGAGTGTTACAATGTGTGTGAGTGTTACAGTGTGTATATTACATTGTGTGTGTGTGTGTTACAGTGTGTGTGTTACAGTGTGTATATTACAGTGTGTGTGTGTGTTACAGTGTGTGTTACAGTGTGTGTGTGTGTTACAGTATGTGTTACATTGTATATTACAGTGTGTGTGTTACAGTGTGTTACAGTGTTTGTTACAGTGTGTGTTACAGTGTGTATTACAGTGTGTGTGTGTTTGTTACAGTGTGTGTGTGTGTTACAGTGTGTGTTACAGTGTGTGTGTTACAGTGTGTGTGTTACAGTGTATCTTACAGTGTGTGTGTGTGTGTGTTACAGTGTATATTACAGTGTGTGTGTTACAGTGTGTGTGTTACGGTGTGTATATTACAGTGTGTGTATATTACTGTGTGTGTGTGTGTGTGTGTGTGTGTGTGTGACAGTGTGTGTTACAGTGTGTATATTACAGTGTGTGTATGTGACAGTGTGTGTTACAGTGTGTATATTACAGTGTGTGTGTGTGTGTGTGTATATGTGACAGTGTGTGTTACAGTGTGTGTGTGTGTGTTTGTGTGTGTTACAGTGTGTGTGTTACAGTGTGTATATTACAGTGTGTGTGTGTGTGTGTGTGTGTGTGTGTATGTGTATGTGACAGTGTGTGTTACAGTGTGTATATTACAGTGTGTGTATGTGACAGTGTGTGTTACAGTGTGTGTGTTACAGTGTGTGTGTGTTTGTGTGTTACAGTGTGTGTGTTACAGTGTGTATATTACAGTGTGTGTGTGTGTATGTGTATGTGACAGTGTGTGTTACAGTGTGTATATTACAGTGCGTGTATGTGACAGTGTAAACATCCTCAAGGACCCCTCAAACATCCTGACAGACCACCAGAACCTTCTCAATGATATTTAAAATGACCCCAAGGACCTCAAGGACCCATAGAACCTTGTCAAAGAACTCTGGAAGCTCCTCATGGACATATCAAACCTCGCTTGAAGCCTTCTCAAGGACTCCCTGACACTGTGTGTGTGTGTGGGTGTGTGTGTGTGTGTGTGTGTATGTGTGTGTGTGTGTGTGTGTGTGTGTGTGTGTGTGTGTGTGTGTGTGTGTGTGTGTGTGAGAGTGTGTTACTGTGTGTGGCTCAGTCTGCAGTGAACAGCTCCCTCTGGTGGAGAGAACCAAACACTACAGATACAATAATCATTGATATGATAATATATTGATTATAGGAGGTTGTAATTAACTGCATCAGTCTGCACACACACACACACACACACACACACACACACACACACACACACACACAGTGTTGCTGCCTCCTGCTGATGGAATGAAGAACTGTATCTGATCCACAAACATGGTTCTCTCACACAGACAGTTACTATTTCCCACCATAGGAACCTCCTCAAGGATTCCAGGACCCCTTGAACTTTTT